GGCTGACGACAACTTCTCTTCCATTGTGGCTGCTGTTGAGGAGGGCAGAGCTATCTACAACAACATGAAGCAGTTCATCCGCTACCTCATCTCCTCCAACGTTGGTGAGGTTGTCTGGTGAGTTTGACCTCTCTGATTAATGTGTTTCTGTTTCTTCAGCTCACCTCATCTGTCCTTTTGCTTCATTATATATATTTTTGCACTCCTTCAGCATCTTCCTTACTGCTGCTCTGGGTCTGCCCGAGGCTCTGATCCCCGTCCAGCTGCTGTGGGTCAACCTGGTCACTGATGGTCTGCCCGCCACCGCTCTGGGCTTCAACCCCCCTGATCTGGACATCATGGGCAAGCCCCCACGTTCCCCCAAGGAGCCTCTGATCTCTGGCTGGCTCTTCTTCAGATACATGGCTATTGGTGGTAAGTAAAACTATGAGGATTTTCTTTAGATTTGATTTATTTGTAGGAAAAACACATACCAACAACTTTGTGTTTATCCACCCCAAACAGGATATGTCGGTGCTGCCACTGTTGGTGGTGCTGCCTGGTGGTTCCTTTACGATCACACTGGCCCCGGAGTCACATACTACCAACTGGTAAATTATCTATTTATTTTTTGTCTACCTTTCATAAACACATCTAGAATTACATAATCACCTTGCATATTTTTGGTGCAGTCCCACTTCATGCAGTGCCACGATGAGAATGAGGACTTTGCCGGCCTCGACTGCGAGATCTTTGAGGCTTCTCCTCCCATGACCATGGCCCTGTCTGTGCTGGTCACCATCGAGATGTGCAACGCTCTCAACAGGTACAAATTCCAAAAGCTTAAAGGCCAACTACGTCTGTGTTACTACAAATCAGCAGACTGACACACACATTTTCATAATAACACGGATGTTGTTCGGTTGAGAAAGCAGCATTTAAAAAGAGTAGAAATTCAATGTTAACTTAATGTGAAGTTCTTTCACATCTTATGGCGTCTTTTGGAAAGATTTGCTGCTTTTATGAAGGCACACACTGTGATATCCTAACGGATATGGTTGTTTCTTCTTAAAGCTTGTCTGAGAACCAGTCTCTGGTGCGTATGCCCCCATGGAGCAACTTCTGGCTTCTCGCTGCCATGACCCTGTCCATGTCCCTGCACTTCATGATCATCTACGTCGACCCTCTGCCCGTGAGTCCGGCGTTCGATCTCTTCTTCAGCTCAGATTGGGAGCTGTGTTTTTTCAACGTCACCCTTTTTATTGATTCAATTGTTGTTAAAACTTTGTTTTGTTGTTTTTTACTCCACCCCACTCCACAGATGATCTTCAAGTTGACCCATCTGAGTACGGAACAGTGGCTGATGGTCCTGAAGCTTTCCTTCCCTGTCATCCTCATAGATGAGGTGTTGAAGTTCTTTGCCCGCAACTACGTCGACAGTAAGGAGCTTCCCATTTTTACCCGTCTTCTCGTTTTTTTTTTTTTTTTCAAAAATAAAAAAGACAAAATATCAAAATATTAACTCCAGTAATTAAGATATTAATACCTTCATCTTTTTTTTTACAATATTTAATATGTTTAAAAATATTTTTAACAAATTTAATCTTCATCCTGAGTTTTTTCTATTATATTGTTTATATCTACCACTTATTTACATTTCATTAAGTCTGCAGTAATCTGTTTAATCTGTTTCATTCCAGTCTTGATCATTAACCCACTGACCCTCTTTATTCATTTCCAGAATAAATTCATTCAACCCATCATCGTTAACCTGTTACTAAAGCAAGGTATTCCTCAGCTTGCACTACTAGCAGTTGCAAACTGTGCATCAGTAGTTTTTGTGTTTGTGCTCTTTTTCTTTTGCTGTTTGATGTCCATAGCCTGGTTTGACCCTGTGATGTCCTCTTGTCTCTTGTTAATGTTGCTTAAGTCATGCAAATGAGCCGATCACCTCGGAATCGCTGCTTTTTAGCGTCACAGTGTTCGTGTTTAGGCTGTCTGCGTTTATGGCAGGCATGTGACTGATGCCTACGCCACAGTGTTTTTTTTTAAATTCCTACAATTAACATTTATCACAAGCTCAGAACAATCCATTTTGAGGGGTTTGTAACATTAAAATGCAGGAAAAGTCAGCAAAATATATAAAAAAAAGGTAAAAGTGCATTAAGTGACACAAACTGACAGTTGTTGACATTAAATTGTTCTGTTTAATGCTTATGTCTGTAAAGACTGACTGAGTTAAATACATTTTTGAATTTTCTGGGGTCAATTAGCTGTGGTTACCATCTTGAATTGGGTTCAATTGTAAATGTTCATCTAACAGAGCTCCAAGTATGTATTGGGGATGATTCTCAGCTACTACCACACCACATTTTAGCTCAGTATCTGAAAAAAAATAATGGGGTTTGAGACAGTTTAGTGTTTTTTAAGGTTTATTAGCTGTGCCTGGCATCTTGAATTGGTGAAAGTTAGCTCAGAGTCAGTTGAGGATGTGCATCCGTTGACTAGCTCAGGGCCATTCAACTGGGGGCCCGCAGGACATTTCCGGCCCGCAGGTGATTTCATTAAATTATTTATTTTATTTTACTTTTTTTTAGGGGGGGGGGGGGTTCTGGGTTTGGGTTCTTTTTGTTGCATTTATGATTCAATGAAATACAATAAACAAATTTAAAAGATAACAGATCATTGTAAAACTTGGCTTATTCACATTATGACTTTAATCACTGCTGAATGCCCGGCCCATGAGCTGCTGGTTCTCAGAAACTGTGGCCCACTGACCAGTTTTGTTGAATACCCCTGCAATAGCCCATGAGATATTTTGCTAACAGACAAGCCATCTCATTATTGGTCCTCTTTCATGACTGCAGGTAACATTTATTTAACAGCGTTCCTTTAGAAAAGTTACATTAAATAATGTGATAAACTAGGCTGTCGCTACCTAAACATTTCTTTGTTATCAATAGTATCAATATCATACTTGAAATGGTTCAACAATAGTATAATAATTGTTATTTCATAATATCCTGTCATAAAGTAATGTCTTAAATGGGCTTTTTGTGCCGACTTCAACCTTTATTATTTTAGAAATGTAAATTCTCTGATTAGAATTCATGTTTGGTCTGGCTTATAACTAAGATTATTGTATGAAAATAATTTTGCGTTTAATTTTAGAATATCACACAAGCATTTACCTCTGGACTCCAATTTGAAATTGCAGATGGAAAAACTGACAACAAGATTTACTAAAAACTAGGGATGCACGATATTATCGGCATGGTATTGGTATCGGCCAAAATTAGTGATAAAGTTAAATATTGGACATCTGCCATTCCATCAGAATAACTCACCAATATAAAATGTGCCATTCATATATATATATATATATATATCTAGATTTGGGAAAATGTACAAATTTCCACAGTTCGAGTTTTGTCATTGTGTTAGAGAGAGTAAATAAATTTGGCATTAAACATAATCCAAGTTCAAGTGTTACATCATTTTCAGCCCCTTTTTGGCACCTGCAATTGGTAGCAGACCAACTTGACAAAGACCATCTAGAATAATGTAGTATTTTCATTCAACAGCAGCAAAAGCTATGCAGTCTCTGTAAGTAGGTTCAGAAAAAAACAATATTGGTATTGGTTATCGGCCAAATAAGTTTTAACATATCGACATATCAGATATCGGCCAAAAATCCAATGTCGTGCATCTCTACTAAAAACTTAAATCCCAATAGATTTGAAATAATCAACATGATTATTACCAACACTTGGAAAATCTGAGTTCCTGAGCTCCAGCAATGTAAAATTTAAGGAGAAAAGGGTCACAAGAGTACGTTTTTTAAATTTATTTACTCAATAAATAGTTTGTCCAATGGTGGCTTGGATGGTTAGAAGGGATTCAAAACGGCTTTATTTGTTTCAAAACATAGAAATATCAGCAGTCACAAACTTTTACCACTGTCTTATCTCTTGAGCATTCTGATGTTAATATTTACTTGATCAAAATATTTAAAAATTATAACAGATTGTTTCATTTAAAACAAAAACACACAAAAACGTGTATATTTATAGTTTCCATAAGTGTAGATAATGAAATAATATTGAGGATTCCAGTTCAGTTTGTTCCGTGTGTTTTTGTGCTTCAGTGTTTTAACTTATTTAATTGTAGGAAGACTTCTTATAGATTACACACTGCTGTCTTACTCAGATTAGTGCATAATTTCTTCTCTTATTCTGACGTCGTCATGATCATTTATTTGTCCAAGGGAGTTTCAGATGTGCTTTTGTCTCTTGGTGTCTGCTTCCATTGTCGACCTCATCACGTGTCTATAAAGCTTCTCTAACTGGTTTGTTTTCTCTCCATCAGGTACAGAAGTTAAAATATAGAGATGTAGAAGAAGAAGGAGATCTGAAGGGTTGAAGAGGCGAAGAGAGAGAGAGAAATTACAACCAACAGGGGGAGCCATAGTGAGCCAATCTATAGAAGAGAGAGAGAAGAAAAACACTGGAAAACAGAAAAAAAACAATAAAACTTGTCAAAAATCAACAGAAAAACAGCCTCTTTATAGTGAAGGAGAGTGAATTGAATTCAAGTGGAGAATCCCTGCTGATAAAGTATTACAATATTTAAGATTTTATTCTAAGACATATGTATTAAAGGTAATTGTTTTTGTTAATCTTGGATATTCTCAGCTGATGTGTTTTGTGTCTTCTGTCCATTTTCATATGATTGACTTTCCAGCTCCTTACTTTTATCTTTGTTGCTCGTGTCTCGTGCAGCCTCCCTGCTTTAGCTGGGCTCTGTACAATGTGGTGTAGGGCTGCAAAATGACTTCTCAAGGGGGAAAAAACAAACACTTTCCTCCAGCTACCAGTGCTCTCTATAAGCACCACACAGTCAGCGGACTCTGATGGAGGTCTCATAAAATGGGCTTGTCCACTCAGTCACAACACTTCTGGTCTTATTTATTGTTTACGCGATGAGCTCGATAATAAAATGATGATTAAAAACTCGCTTTCTTGTGTTGTGAAGCACATTTTTATTCATCCTTTAACACATTTTTGTATGTGGACACATGGAGAACTGCAGGGTTTACAGAGTGCAACATGGAGTCGTATATTTATCAGATCTCCGGACAACGTTGCCGCTGTTTAAGTGCTCAACAGAGTTCGTTTGTCGGCCTTTTGGGTTGCAGGGGGAATGTTGGCAAAAGAACCCTTTAGATGAGGTTCCTGAAAGGTATGTCGACATCCTTCATTTGCTTTTCGTAATCTTCATCAAAGATCTTCGACTGCTCGAGCGTGAAATTGTTTTTCCAGTCGCCAACTTCTCCTGGATATCAAAAGAAAATACGAGAATAAATCAACACTGTTTGCTATTAAAAAGATAGATCAGCCATTCTGAAGTGTGTTTCTGTGGAAAATATATACCACATTTTTCGGCCTATAAGTCACAGTTTTTTTGCATAATTTTCATGCCCTTGCGACTTATACACTGAAGCGACTTATTTATGTGTTTTTCCCATATTTATAAAATATTTTTGGCCGAGATATGAAAGTTTTCATTCATTCTGACATTGAAAATATTGAACACTACCACTTTCAGCCACTAGATGGCACTTGAGTAGTATGGCATGCCATTGTGTCGTGTAATGGGTAAAAGTGGTTATTAATGACACAGTTGGCTTGCCATACAGCCATCTTCGTCCAGCTCCGGGATCATGCCTGGAGCAACGGACAAATCAGCTTCATTTCGCTGCGACGCCCTGGTGAAATGCAGCTAATTTGACTATTGAAGTGCATTTATTAAGTAAAAGTTCAACTGAGACACAACTTAAAAGTCGAGCAAACAAATAATTGTTTTTTATGTGATTTTCTTGTTAAATTTTGAAGAAATGCACAGTGACTCGTCCCTCTGTGCGCTCCCGATTCTGCAAATCGGCTTTTGAAATGCAGCTGATTTGACAGTCAAAGTGCATTTATTAAGTAAAAGTTAGACTGAGACACAGCTCTACTATAATTTCGAACAAATAGTTGTTTTTAAGTGTTAATCTTGTTAAATTCTTGTCAAAGTCCTCCCGTGCATGCTCCTGCAGGTGCCATTTGGCAACCAATCAATTTTTGGCACAACACTGGCCCACATTTCCAGGTTGTCAGTGGTGACGCATACTAGATGCAACTTATACAACAAAGCAGCATATTTATGTTTTTTTCCATTTTATTAGACATACTTGGACTGATGTGACGTGTATGGCGGAAAATACATTAAATGGCTCATATCTTTCTGTTTGGAGAGCTTTAGTTTGGACAAATAGTTTATCTCTGACTGAAATGAATATTAGACGGCTAACGCAGTCAAAGCTAAAATGAACTGTTGCCATTTTAAAATGAGTCCAGTCTTGTCTTTTGATTCATGCAAACTTTATTTTATAAACTGTGCCACCTTCAATGATGCTTTATAAAGTTGTTGGCAATAAATTCTGGGGTTCTCTAGAATAGGGGTCCACAAAAACCTGCTACAACTGTGGATGTCAACTGGTGGCCCATGGGCCACTTTAGGTTTGTTGGAGGAGACATTTGTGGCCAGCAGGGATGACATTATAAAGCTAAAAATATCTAATGATTTTTAACATTCATTGATACTTTTACAATTTAAGACAAATGAAAAGATCAGATTATTGTGGGGGGAGGGGGGGACTATAAACTGTGCAGACCTACATGATTGTTTTCAATTGTGGGAAAAAATAATTAAGTATAGAAATAAAGCAAAAGTTAAAGTGAGTATTTTCAAAAGAAATGACCGGAAAACTGCTAAACCCAGTACTTCTTTGTTGTTTGTATAACAACCAATATAGTTCAGATTTACGTTAGTTTTGTTCAAAGCTTGAAAGAGTCGCTGCAGAGGGACCAAAGAGCCGCATGGCTCCAGAGCCGCAGGTTGAAGACCCCTGATCACAAATAGAGGCAACACCAAGCTGTAGCATTTCCCGGTGGTGTAAAAGTTTAAATAATAACATTTGTACAAACAAATATACATTTTAAAAGACTGGAGTTGTTTAAGATGGACAAATCTGCTTCTGTAGTGGGTCCATTTAGTCATAGTCATGTTCAGACTAGCCTTCCATGGTGTCGTGTTCAGCCTTTTGCCATGTCAGCCCTGATCTACCTGTTTTCAGTCTGTGAGTAGCTGCCCTGTCAGCATTTTGATTTTGTTTTGTATAATAAATATTTTTTACTATTCCTCAAGCGTCCTGGTCATCCTCCTGCACGTGGGTTCAACACTCCTGATGGCTGAACATGATATGGCCATGTTCAGACTAGCCGTTAGCTTGTCAGTTCGGTTGTGTGCAGCTTCATTTCACCAAAGTGAGGTCGTGCCAGGTAAGATATTTACTATTTTTCAAATTCCCACAAAACCCACTTCAAAATGGCTCAACTAACCCTTTAAGATGTTTATGCTGTGAGCAGCAAAAAACTAAAAACTGAACTAGTTTCTGAACATTTTACTAAATATTTATGTAAAATGAGCTGTTATCAGGGACTTGCTGGTTTAAAAAGCTACAATTTATTTTATAACAAGCTCAGATTCACGAGGCCAATAAACAGATGATCTGTTTCATTTGAGCCTCTAGACGTCAACATAAACCTGCACTAAACTTGGACAAATCACAAAGCTGCATCAGCAGAGAGGTGAACCGTTTCACATGTTGTTCACCTGCCGTTGTATGTTTAATCACATGACCTCAGCGACCTGCGCTGACCCACACACCTTTCCTCATGAAGGGGGAGATGGACTGATCAAAAACAGGTGTCGGGATGCAGGAGTAGTTGGCCATCGGGTTTTCCTTCATGCTCTTAAAAGACGTGAGCTCCACAATTCGGCTGATCACCTCGTCGGAGAGCGACAAGTCCAGATACCTCATGATGCGCTCCACCTCACGCCGAGGGTTCTGTGGGCTCAACAGGTGGCGTTAGTGCAAGCACTGAGTTTACTTTCACAAACTGAACACTGATCATAGGACCAGCACAACATGCTTTTGTAGCTATAAAATGTATCGCACTACCTCCTTCATGTCCTCATAGAAGATGTAAAGGATGTTCTTCTTTTCCCTTTCCTCCCAGTAACCTTTCACATGATCATACCAGGAGCCCCAAGCTACTGTGGAGATTAAAGCAAAACAAACTCTAACACGTGTTTATTGCTTTCTAAGCAATGCATGAAAAGTTTATAGATGCAGGCAGTAAATATATTCTCCTGAGCTGATGTTGTTATGTGACTGCTTGGAGATTTATTAGTTATTAGCTTTCTTTTATTATTTCAAACTGTGAACTTGGTGTTATTATCAATAACAGCTGATGTAATTGATAATAATAACCTTCGCCACTATAATTACTACAAGTCTTAACTAGAGAAATTGCATTTCCTGCAAAAATGCAGTGTGAATGTTTATTGCTGAAGAACTTGCTTAAAAAAACAGCTGAAATTAGCTTAAAAAACAGCTGAAATGAAAGAACAAGCCTAAGTTAGCAGAAGACAGCAGCAAGAACACAATTTTGATGAATTGCGGTTTAAATAAGAAGAAATTAGCACAAAAATTAGGAAATTAGCAAAAAAGGCTTAAATTACTGGTAGCTAAGAAAATAGCTGAAAAGTAGCTGAAAAGGAAGAAAGAAGCTTGAACTACCAGAAGTAAAGTGGAAGGAGCTGAAATTAGCTCAATGTGGAATTAGCTGAAAAATCCAAATTTAGCATAAAACAACTAAATAGTAGCTGAAATAGCAGAAAAAGCTGAAACTAGCAGAACATTTTGAAATGAGCATAAATGGTGAAATGAGCATAAATAAGTTAATTAGGCTGAATAAAGCAGAACTTATCATCAAAACTTGAACTTATCTGAAAACAGTTGAAATTAGCTAAAAATGCTAAAAAGCTAGCTGAAAGGCTAGAACAAGCTTAAATTAGCAGCAAGAAGACGTGTTTGTCCAGTTAGGCTGAAAGAAGCAGAAATTAGCACAATAAAGTGGAAATTATCTGAAAAAAGCATAAATTAGCAATAAATTAATTAATTAAATAAAAAAAAAACAGCTGAAAAGTTGTTAAAAAAGCTGAAAGAAGCTAAAAATTACCAGGAGGAAATTTTGAGAGCACAATTTTGCTGATTTAGGCAGAACAAAGTTTAAATTAATGCAAATGGTGTGCAATTTTCTGAAAAAGCTCAAATTTGCATAAAATCAGCTAAATAGTAGCGGAAATAGCAGAAACAGGTGAAATGTGCAGAAATAAGCCGAAAGGAGCATAACAAGCTGAAATCAGCAGAAAGAAGTTAAAAGAAGCATAAAAATGTAGTTAGCAGAAAGAACCTAAGGAATTACAAAACAGCTGAAATGAGCTGAAAGTAGCTGAAAAAAATGCTTAAATTTTCACAAGGAAGCTGATCCAGAACAAAATGTGAAAGGAGCAGTAGAAGATTGTAAACAGATTTAAAGATATGAAGGATGTAAAATAAGCTCCATTCATTTTCTAAGAAAAAAGTGGCAGAAAAGGTCAAATATCTCAAAAAGCTAAAGTTGCGCCAGTACCAAAAGTCATAGTAGGATTGTCCTGAATGAGCTGAAAATTTTGATAAGATTTGTTGAAATAGCTTGAAACTGCGGGATGAGAAAGTTGCCGAAAAATGTACAGAAGATAATTGGATCACAATAGTGTGAATGTTTCATAAACATAAACAAAGCAACAAAATGTATAAAGAGTTTTTTGAATGAGTGTTTTCATCTGAGAGCTGCTAATCTCCTCGTGGGCACCGAAGCACAAGTTTCTCACGGCTCAAACGCTTTGAGACATGAAACATGAGATGTCAGGGATTTCTAAAGCACTTTTCTATTGTGTAAGTGCATAAAATCCTTTAGGCTCTGGTTTAACTGGTGAGCACGCAAGATGGGGATTTGATTCCAGTGGACAGAAATAAACAGGAAACAAAGCAAAGAAATTGAGTCTGCTTACGCTCTCCTCGCATAAACTTGTGGACGAATTCATCGAAGGGCCCCGGCTCAGGCTGGGTCTTATTCATTAGATGGAAGTAGTAGTAGCTCACCAGGTTGTCTTTGGCGTTGCGTGCCACATAGATAGTCTTCACACATAAATACCAGAGACAGAAAAAGATTTACAGCATCAAAACAGAGAGGATTTTATCACAGGGCAGTTAGTTTGGTACAGTATAATCAACCTCTAACCCTAATTTCCTGACTTATTTTGAACCTTTGACTCCATCAGTGCACATTAACTGGTTAGTTAGAGGCAATAAAACAGGGTGTAGTATCCTCACTATGATAAAGCTGTCAGAGACCAGATCTTACTTTGCATTTGTTTTCCCAAAATCCTGGAGGCACCAGCTGAAAAGGAAGATGGGTCTTAATGAGACGTGGTGGATCCATGTTAGCCAGAAGTTCAAGCCCTAAATATAAATACAGGAGTTGTGAATTAAAAACTTCAAACACGCGTCGTTTTTCTTTCCAGTGCAAGATGAAAGGACAGCAGCGTGATATCAGGTCATGTGGTTTTCAGCATATTGCAGTAAAAACAAAGCATGAAGTTGAGACTTTAAACTTAATTAGTTTTGAAAGTGGATTCATATGAACAGATTTTGGAACAGAACAAGAGGAAGACCTTCTCTTCTTAGAGAGGAAACATAAACAAGGCTTGGTGGGTCATTTTGGCCCCAGTGCAGCAGGAGGAGGGTTAATCTAAACTCAGAGGAGTTACAATAAGTGAACCAACATTTAGGTTTAAAGACAATAGTTCAGCATAATAAATATTGTCAGATGATTTTTGGAGTGATGTTCTTTAACACTGTAATCTTTAATTTTTGATCAGCCCTGATGTCGTTTTAATACTAAAGCTTATGTTGTTATTTTTCCTCTGTCTCTGCCCAGAACTAATGCTCACAGAAAATCAGCTAAATACAGAGCATCCTGATGCATGCTCGATAAATAAATACAGAGCATCTTGATGCATGCTCGATAAATAAATACAGAACACCCCGATGCATGCTTGATACATAAATACAGAGCATCCCGATGCACGCTTGATAAATAAATACAGAGCATCTTGATGCATGCTCGATAAATAAATACAGAGCATCCAGATGCATGCTCGACAAATAAATACAGAGCATCTCGATGTATGCTCGATAAATAAATACAGAGCATCTCGAGGTATGCTCGATAAATAAATACAGCGCATCCGATGCATGCTCGATAAATAAATACAGAGCATCCCCATGCATGCTCGATAAATAAATACAGAGCATC